GGCCTGGGCCCAGCGCCACGAGGGGCACGGCCGCGGGCTGCTCGGTGAACACGTAGTAGACCACGCGCTGGCCCACCATGAAGTGCTGCTCGGCCGATTCCAGGAAGCGTGCCAGGTACTTCTCCAGGTACCTGCCGGGTGGGTGGGCGCAACCAGTCAATCTGGTTGGCCACCTCTTCCCTTACTACACGCTACCCGCATCTGAGTCCTGCCCGCGCCAGTCTATGGGAGAAAACCCCCAGGCAGACCTAGAACCTTTCAGCCATGGTGCGCTTGCAGCATGTTTGCCTCTCTGGCGCTGAAGAGAGGGCCGCTGTGTGCCTTCCGCTGGACTGGGCTTTCCTTTGACTGCCCTGATCCATACAGTGCCAATAGAATGACTGCTGGGCCTTGACGCTGCCTGCCTCTTTCCTACTCTGAGCCTTCATAGAACAGGTCCCGTGATGTGAGGAGACCCAGGGTAGCTGGGAGAGGCTGGGTGGAGGGAGAGGAGTCTAGAGGCGGTAGAGGGCGAGTAAATGGTCCTCAGCATTTATTCTGCCACTTGAGTCCCTGACATTCGGGAGCAGTGAGGAGCCCTTTCTGCTGAGCCCTGTCTGAATTCTTGACACTCAAAATGGTAAACTACAAGAATAACTAGTCATTTAAAGTGATTGAGTTTGTAGTAATTTTCGTAAATAACCAGAGTGCTTGGAATACCGGAACCTCTATGACTAGATCTTGAGATACCAGTGTGTCAAAATGCCTAATATTTTGAACATTTTTCTTGTGGCACTTTTAAGCCAACATGAAACATCTCATTTAAAGAGCTCTAATAAGCTGTGCAAACCTATCTAATTGGTAAATGGTAGAGCTAGGATTGAACCCAGCTTGGCGTTGGAGTCTAGGCCTTTACTCTGGTCCTGGTGGAACTGTGGGAAATAGGAATTGGAGATCTTGAAGACCTCAGCATCACTGAGGAACTCAGGACTTTAAGGTCCTGGAATTTCAATTCCTTGAGACTGGAGCCCCGAGGGATGGTACAGAAACACTGCTTGGAATATTTAGTGGAAGTAGGGGGACTGAGGTCCTGGGAGAGGCCAGGTTCAAGTGATATGGCACCTGTGACTGCCTGACAGTGGTTCAGCCCTTGGTCTTGTGTTCCCTGCTTCTCAGTTACCCTCCTGGCCTTTTTCCCCTTCTAGAGTGTGAGGAACAGAATAAAGGAGCCTTGAGCAGTTGTCTCAGGTATCTGGTGGCTAAATTTCTTCTCTAGCCTTTCAGATATCTTTTTCCTGGGTGGAGAGGAAGCCTTCACTACCTTCCAGAGCAGGCTATCCTAGCATTAGAAACATTTCCTTGATTTCCCAGGACTGTACCTCTTGTGCTTTAGGGTTATAGGTCTGACTGCCACTCCTACCCAGGAGTCATCTTTGCATTGCTTCTGGAAGGCTGATCACCTATCCTGGATCCTCCTCCTACCCACAGTGGGGAGATCATTTCTCTTTTGGCCACCCTTCCCCATACCTGGAGCCCCATCCATTGCCTGGGCTCTTCAGTTCCTTACTGACTTTCTCTCTTGCAGTGATTCTGTCCTCCACCCTCCTCAGTCACCGCATTCCCTTGTCCTTGTCATCATCAGTGTACCGCCTTCCAAACTGCAGCCTCACATACCACTGTGTGAGCCCCTCATTCTTTCAGCTCACTTGCTCTATCCCCACCCACCAGTCCTGCTTCACCAAGTCCTCTAATCCTGCCACTTCTCAGTACCCGCCACCTCCCATCCCTCTTTACCCAGCTCAGATTCACTCCCTTGCAAACCCTTTCTGTCTCTAATCCCTCTTCCTGCACCAGAATTCCCAGGCAGAACGTCACCACATCCACTCTGCCTGTGGCTAGGCTGCTGACTCCCAGAGGGCACTTTATTCCCTTTGTTTACCCATTTGCTTTCCTTTTTCTCCCCACTCTTGCCTGAGAAACTCCATCATTTCCTCACCACAAACCTAGTGGACCAGACCTAGCCCTTAGGCAGGTTTCTTCCAGGACAACAGTCCTGAGCACCTGGATGCCTGTGCTGGGTGGGCTCTTTGGCATTGATGTTCAGGGAGTGGGGAGGAAGATGCTCTTGTGTTCACCTTGGGTGTGTGGGACAAGGGGTGCATTTTAGGATCCTTGCTACATGGGAGCAGGGCATCGCACATCCCTGCACACATATACCCCTCCCGCTCCCCACCTGGACAGCACCACTGCTTCCCCCAGGCCTTACCTGCCCACGGCAAAGACAGTCAGCCCAATGGTGAGGTTCTGCCGTCTAGCCTCTCGCTGGGCTACGTGTGGGTCAAAGGTGCCATCCCAAATAATGGGAGTCTTCCAAGAGGTACAGGTCAGGACATCAGGTCGGTCCCTGGCCAGAATAGGGATGGAGAGACAGCTCCATTCATCACCCGCTTGGTGCAGGCTCACTACCACCTCCCTAGTGCTGAGCCTTACGCACCCATAGGTACATCAGACCAGTACCTGTCTCTAAAAGCCCCTGTCTTAGAATCAAGTCAGAGGCTTATAGGACTAGGAAACATGTGATCCAGTGGGGGACTTAGGACTGATAGGTGCAGAGACTGGCTCTGTGGGGTGGGGAATGAGGGGAGGGCAGGGACATGGGGCAGAGCTGTGTAGGTTTGTGGGAGGAATGGTAGCTCCTTACCACGGTCGCAGGACTCCTGTGAAGTTGTCTCTCAGCAGGGCCATTGTGGCTGAAGGGCAGACACCCATGGGGATTAGGACTTCCAGCTGCCTGTGAAGTGGGGGCAGCAGTAAGGGGCATACTCAGAAGGGACAGCCCATAAGGACATTTGCCCAGGTTGAGCTTGCCACCCACTCCCTCTCTTGAGGAGGCACTTGGAAGGATCCACTTTAACCCTAACCCTGGTGGTCCTACCCCAGGAGCTAGGGCAAGGAGGCTAGTACCTGTAAGGAGAGGACCAGTACAGGAGCAAGACTAAGAGGCCAAGTGCAAGTACAGTCAGCCGCCAGAAGATTCTCTTCCTTGGCCTGGGAGAAAAGGGCATCGGTAACTCATTTCTGTATATATACTCACACACACACACACACACACACAGGACAGATCATTTACGTGCTGTTAGTACTTCATTGTTTTGTTGTTTTTAAATAATGCATCCTGTTTATATGGTACAGAAATTAAAAAGGATGAAAGAGCATATACAGCAAAAAGTCTCTGCTATTCCTCCACATGGAGGCAGCCAATGTTAAGTTTCTTATGTGTCTTCCAGAGTTACATATAAATGGTATCACTTATGTTTTTCTTCTTTCTTAGATCTCCCACAGGTGGTAGCACAATAGATATACCATTCTGCACCTGCACTTTTTGCTGTTAGATTATTCCATCTAGTACTTAAACTCCTCCATCATTTTCCCAGCGGCCTAGCATGCTATGGGTTGGAGGTGGTGTGATTTTCATAACCAGGGTTTGTCTGATGAGCACTAAGCATGTCTTTGGACAGAGCTGCTGTAGGGCATGACCTTGGGCAGGTTTGGAGGACTGTAACATTAGGGGTTGGGGTGCTTGGTCTGGGTGGAGGTAAGGCTGACCCCGGTCAAGAGAATGGGCCAGAAGAGGCTACAGGAGAGTTTGTGGCGTGGTAGCTGGGAGTGAAGAGACAAGTTGCTGGACTGGCTGTGGTCAGAAATTTTGTGTGCACGGTGACTGAAGTTCAGGCTGGGCCACAGCTCCTCCCATAGGGCTCAGTGGCCTCATTCTTGGCTTAGTGAAGGTGGGCTATGGGATTTATGTGTGGTAGTCTTGTTTTAAACATGTCTCAGATCTCCTGGAGAGAAGTGAAGGAGCACAGATATCGGGGCCAGATCCCCACAGAGCTGAATCCCAGCTCTGCCACTTCTAAGCTGTCTGACCTCCCTCAGACAAGGCCAGACCTACATGTCAGCCTCCTCATCTGTAAGATAGGTGACGAGAGGACTGTCTGCAGAGGGCAGTCATGGACTTTGAGTTAACATAGCAGGTAGAGCCAGGCCTTTTGCCTTGTAATACCTGGCAAAACTTTAGCTGGTGATGAAAATGATGATTCTCTTCCTAATAGGCCCTCGGCTTCCCCTGCCAACCTTCTAGCTCCACTCCCTGTCCTATAAATCCTTCCAAACTCTGATTCCCTCTGGTCTCTTTCAAGAAGGCTGGCTGCATCAGATCCTCCTACCCCTGCTTTTCCTGTTTTTCTCTTCTTTGTTCCCCATAGGATGTGTCCAGAGCAGCTGTGAGAACCTCCTTGCAGCTGCGTTTACCTCTACCTGGGCACCATCTCAGACGTCGGTTTAGTTGGCTGTGCTAGAAACCTGTGTGGGTACAGACCGTTCTGCCTCTACTGTCAGTCCTCAGATGAGGTTGAATTGGCTTCCTTGGTCTCTGCCCACCTCCTGTTCCTCCCCAAAACCTCCACAGGGACTCTGGCTGGCTCATCTGTCACGGAGACCGTTGCAGCAGAGCCCTCTTTATTTCCAGTCGTTCCCCAAGCACCCTGAGTTAGCTCATAAGCTGTCTGCTTCCCTTGACAGTGTTTATGTCATCCCAACAGGTAAATCCTCAAAGAAAAAATGCACTTAGTAGGCAAATATATGGAAAAACATTCATCCTTCCTAGTAACTAGAGATATACAAATTAGAACAAGATGGTAGGTTTTGCCTATAAAATCAGTACTTTAAAAAAAAGAATGAAAATAACCCAGCTGCTGGCATACGGGGAGACAGGCTCTGAGGGTCCTTTGGAAAACTGCATTGAAAGCTTTTGATATGCATTCCTTTTGATTCAGTAACTCCAGCCTCTGGGAATGTATTCATAGGCAATGACCTTCAGTATGGAACGTTTATACATCAGGATATCCATCTGTTTCCGGTCAGTCATGCATTCAGACACCAGTGCAGCATAAGGCACTGCGCTAGGTTAAGGATTTAGAGGTGAGGGAGACAGACCTTGTCTTCAGAGTGTGGAATTGGAAGATGTGAGTGCAGTGGGAGAAGGGGAGTGAGGAACGGGCCCACGACAGACCAGAACAATGAGTGCTGTAGGTAGGGTACGCACTGGTGTTAAGGAGGTCGGGCTGCCGGGTGGCACCAGAGCCTTGGCATGCTGGAAGGAGGTCAGGAAGATTCCTGGAGGAGGTGACCTGAAGGATTAGAAGATATGCAGCCAAAAGAGGCAGTGAGCGAGGGGGAAGGGCAGCCCATAAGAAGGAAAGGTGAGCATAGTGAGGATGTGAGAGAAAGCTTGGCAGGCAGGTGGCGTGGCCGGGGAGGAGGCACAGTGCAGAAGAGGGTTGCTGAGCGCCGAGCTGTAGAGGTCAGTTAGAGTACCCACTGAAAGGGCCGTGGGGAGCTCAGGAGGGTCTCCGCCAAGGTGTGCACAATCAGAGTTTTATTTGGCAGATAAAAAGTACTTGTGCCGAACTGTTGAGCCTGGACCTGGTAGGCTGAAAGGGAAGGTGTGGCTGGAGGCAGGAAGAGAAATTAGAAATCAGGCTGCTTCTGGGGCAGGAAGCAGTGTTGGTGGGAACGGTAGGAATGTTAGGTGTGAGGAATGGGCATGACTCGGCCATTGACGGGAGGCGTAGTGCTGCGGGAACCAGGAAAGCAGAAGTTGTCTGCTTGACTGGTTGGGGGAAGGGGCTAGAGCCCTGAAGGCAGGCAGGCGTAGGAGAGAGTTCTGGGATTCACCAGGAAGGCACAAGGGACAGGAGCCCAGAGCCCTGGCACAAAGGACTGAGTGGTAAGAGGCTGAGTGGTAAGTGTGTGAGAAGTGCCGTGGAGAGGTGGGATTGTGTGTGTGTGTGTGTGTGTGTGTGTGTGTGTGTGTGTGTGTGTGTGTGTGAAGGTAACTCTCCCAAGAAGACAGGCTTAGTGGAGGAAAGAGATGGGGTGGTAACTGGAAGGGGACAAGGGACTGGAAGTGGACATAGGGAGACCAGCCTGGTGACCACTCGTTGGGAGATATCCACAGAGAGGTATTGGAAGTCTCAGAGACACCAGTACTGAGCCACTTGGGTGTAATTGGAAAAGCCCCCCATGTCCACCCAGAGGGACCTGCTGAATAAACTTGTCGCCAAGACTTCACAGTCACACGCAAAATGCTGACTCTGATGTAAAAGGAAAAAAAAGCAGAGTCGAAAATGTACACCATGGTGAGAATTAGCAAGAATAAAAAAACATGTGCCAGACAGTGAGAGACAGGAAAAATGAAACTGTATGATAGGATTCTAGTAGTGAGTTTCCTCCTTTATTTTTCTTTCCAGGAGTCTATAATATACTCATATTGCTGTTTTAATGAAGGAAAAATACAGAAAAAATAATTTACGAGGAAAGTTATCCTGTGGTTTCCTGTTGACCAAAAGTTTAAGTCCACATCTCTTAGAACTGCCTAAGAAGCCTTCTCAGTCTGTTACACATTGAGCACTCACCGACTCCAGCCCCCTTTCCTGTCTGTAGGCATGGATACTCTACAGTGGAGAGTCGACCATGTTCTTGTAGCTTTGACAAAGGAATATGAACGACCCGTGTTCACTGGATCAATGAATTATGGATATCTAAAGAGTGGAGGTCAACATGGCCACTAAAAAGAGGCACAGGTGTGAGTCTGTGAGGGAAGCCCCTGTGCCTGTGTGTCCATGCTTTTATACTCTAAGGCATGATTATCCAGGCCTCATAAGCTTGTGATCAATCGTGAGCCACCTAGGTAATTTAAGATTTTATATCAGCCACATTAACATCTTCCTGCTGACTTGAAGCACCGGTGGTACATGCATGACTGTCCCATCAGGCACCTTGTACAGCTGGTAGTACAAATGGATCTAATCACTTTTACTGTTTTTTTTTACTAATAAACTTAAATCAGAGCCACCTGGCAGTTTGACAGATAAATTATAGCCCTGTCATGAATGTTAAAAAGTGAAAAGGAATAGGTAAGATTAATCTTTTATTTTCCATTACTGGAGATTGAACCCAGGACCTTCACACCAAACTGTATCCTCAGCCCTTTTTAAATTTTAATTTTGAGACAGGGTTTCACTAAATCATCAAATTGCATAGACTGGGCTCAAGCTTGGAATCGTCCTGCCTCAGCCTCTCAGAGGGCTGGGCATGCCCCCCTTACAATAGTTTAACATTGCCAAAATTGCTTACACCTGTAGCACACCTGTCATCCCAGCCTGGCACTTTTGATCTTGTACAGTGAGTGTGTACCTTCTATTATATCAGTCATCCCACACTCCCAGCTCCCCACGCCCAGGCTTTCAGCAGAGCCTGCTTGTTTTGCCAGCCTCCCTACTTCTGCTCTTGTCTCCTGCAGTCCACTCATATGCCACACCCATCCCCTGTACAAAGCCTGATAACTTCTCACTGCTCTTAGAGTGGGATCCATGCTTGATACTCTGGCCACTGCCCACTTCTCTGGTCACGCCCCATTGTGTCACTGTTATCCTTGTCTGATGGCTCTGGTCGCCTGCTCTTTCAGCACTGCCCCTTACCTGGAACTCAGTTCTCTGTACCTCCTCTTTCACCATTTGGCTTACCTGCTGGTGACACCAGCCCAGTCCTCTTGCTGAACGCTGGCCTCAGGTAACGTGTTCTCTAGAGAGCTGTGTCCACCTGGGTGCCCCATAGGTGCCTCATCTCAGTGCCTCTTGTGCTGCAGTTTGCATCCCTCCCTTTAAACCATCTCATCTGTGGTCCCTGTGACCCTTTCTCCCTCACCCATAGTGGCTTAGTCATCAGTTTCTATTTCTCCTTCCTAGTACCTAAAGTACCCCTCCTCCCCATTCCCACTGCCCTGTTTATGCCTCACTGTTTATCTGGATTCTGGTAACAGCCTCCTAACCTGCCCTCTACTCTCAACTCTTCACCCTCCATCGTGATGTTACTTAAGCTTGCCATGACTTTGAGTATCTCCCAGCTTTTCCCCAGATCACTTTCCCCATCCTCTAATCATTCCTTAATTCCCAGCCCCCTCTTTTATAAATCCTTCTCTGAAGTCTCACCACCACACCTTGTCCCCCAAAATGCTCCTCTGAACCTTTGCCAAACCCCTTTCTAGCCCTTGCCAAACTGAGTTGACTGCCTGTCTGGGCTGTGAGTTTCTAAATACTTTGCACTCTTGGTGCCAAATCCCAGAGCCTGCCTCATAACTGGTGGTATTAATAATCATTTGTTCAGTAAATGAACAAAGCAGTGAATAAATAGAATGTTTTGACTTCATTCTTTCCCAAACTCCCTGTTACTCCTTTGCTTACAATTCAATTTCTCCAGGATATGGACTCATTAATAATCCCAGACACTGAGCTGTGCTCTCTGCCTGTCTTGTTGAAATCTGACCACAGACCCTTAGCAGGAGGAACTGGAATATCTCTGCCTGTGAGACTGAAGTGTGGAAAGGTTAAGTCACCTGCTCAGGATCACAGGGCTGGTAAGTGGTGGGCTGAGCCTCGGGTTTAGGTCTGTCTGACTCTAGAGTAGGCCTGTAGTGCAACATTTGGGTGCTTATGGTGTGGTCCCAGCCCAGTGCTGGGTTCCTGGCTGCTCCCAAGTTTCTTGCTCGTGTTTCTTTTGCAAGAAGCCTTCCCCTTCCTCACCTGACCTGTGGCCCACTGCAAGGTCCTGGAGGGTGGGCAGTGGCTGTGCTTTTCTGGCTTCCAGAAGCCAGTCTGGACTGGCAGTTGGCAAGACTGGCTGTGGTGCACAGGTAGAAAAAAGCAGCCTCTTTCTGCTTTTAATGGCTGTACTTTCTTAGCCAGGGTCCCCCTTCCCCTACTAGGGTAGACAAGTTAGTGTTTATCTTGGGCATTGTGCCTCAGTGAGCACAGCCAGGCAGAACTAGCCCCGAGTGGCCCAGGTGAGCTCAGTCAGGTGCGGGAAGGTGCTGGCTCCCAGGCCAGATAGGTCTCATGCCACTTGAGCCTTATCCAGTCCCGAACCCTTATCCATGGACACGCCTGCCTGACACTCTTCCACATTCCTTGCTTTAATATTTTCAGGTTTTGTCTGCCAGTTCTACCCGAAGAATGTGTTTAAGCCCTACCTGTTCCCTGCTCCCTCCCTTTGCTTTCACAAAAGGGTACAGATCAGCTATTAGTCTTCAAGGAGAAGCAGGTTCCTAGTCCTAAACAGTCAGGCCTATGGGAACAGAGAGCTCAGTATGGGGGGGGGGTGCACGCTGTGGTCTTCACTCCGTCTCACCACCGTAGTCTCTCACCCAGCTGTTCAGTGGCTGTGTGACCTACTAGGAAGTGGTTCCCTGACCCACCATCCTTTACGGGGACCATTTTTCTCTGAGTCGCCTCTTCTCAGGACCTGTGGCTCAGCTGGCTGTCAGTGGTCTCCTTTGATGCCTTCCCCAACTGTTCTAGCCCCCCCGACAAGACCATTCTTGGGTCAGCTGTCCATCCCCTTCCCACCATCCTCTCCCCCTGCCATCGCCCCCACTCACCTGAGTCCCTCCTTGAGGGCCATGGGGAGAAGCCAGTGGAACAGCCTGCCACAGACTTTCTATGTTCAGAGCCAGTTAGAAATGACTGCTTCCAGTAGTTGGAGACTGGGACAAACCAGCTCTTTCCTGCCCTCTATCTCAGGAACCACTCCCACAAAAGCAAGCAGTGGACTGCCCAGCAAGGGGCTTGCTGCGGGGGTGGGACCTACTGGAGGCGGCTGACCCACCTGGAGCCAATCAGCAGGAAGAGGTGGATCAAAGTTGGCCAGAAGCTGAGCCTTATATTGACTTCTCTTCCCTTTCCAGTGGTCTTTGAGCTCTTCAGTCTTGTTTCTGAAAGTGGCCAGGGTAGGTAGGGTATGTCATTCCTACCCAGGGAAAGCCCTGTTCCACAAAGAGCCCCAGGGGGAGCTAAACAGCGCTGTATGGACACTATGACCTTGGGCAATTTATTCCTCCTCAGTAAAGTAGGGTACATACACTAGGACAGTGTGAGCTGGAGTAGATCAGGGCTGTGGAACGATTTTGTGAAGCTCACCCTGGGCAAGTTTTTAAAAAATGCAAGTGGTGTCCCAGCAGAGTCAAGTTAGTTTAGCACGATTAAGATTTTAAAAGCAGGAGGAGGAAGTGATGATAGATAGTACATAAAATTGTAGGTCTGGGGATTTAGCTCAGTGGTTCCGCCACCTGCCTTGCAAGCACAAGGACCTGAGTTTGATCTCTGATTCCACCCCAAAAGTACATAAAATTGTGTGTATACCCAAGGCTGGGAAGTACTACGAGTCACGATCAGGGCTTGTTACATTCTGTGTAAGGATAAATAGAAGCATGTCTATATTGAAGGCTGTGCCTTTCAAACATGCAGCTAGTTGAGGCCTATCACCTAAAGCAGAAAAAGAATGTGCATTTACTGTGCAAGTCAGTCCCCTCATAATCACCATATCCCTTTAATAGTTTTGGTTTCCTCCCTTTCCATCACACTTAGAAATAAAACTTGGGTGGAGCCTGCTTTCCATTTTCTCCCATATGAGGAGACGGGTCCAGAAGGTTAAGAGACCTTCCCAGAGTGTTACAAACCCATAATGTGATCCCGTATTTGTTAGCAAGAAGGAAAGCACAGGAAGCCTCCCTTGCTTGGCCTCCCCCCACTAGGGCTCACTCTCTACTCAGCCAACTGCCCCAAAGCATCCCTGGGTCCTCCTGCCTCCAGAGACACCTGGCTTTCCAGGCCTTGCTCAGTTCCCCCTCCTGCTCATAGTTATATTTGAACAGGTTCAGAAAGGAGTTACCGACATCTAGGTACTAGTTCTCAAAAATTATGCCTAACCTTTCTTTAGGGGTTGTGGTGCAATACAGGAGCAGGGTATAGTAACCCACATTCTTAATAGTTGTCTTAAGTAAAAAACTAGCCAAAGGAGGCAGCTGCCCCCTCTATCCCGTGAGGTAGATACAGGAGCAATTTTGCTCCACGCCAGAGGACAGGCTTGTCTTTAGCAGTCTCAGGTACACAGCCCACTCCAGCCACGGCTGCTCACACCTTATCCAGTCCAGACAGCTGGATCCCACTCACCTACACTTCCATCCATGCTGTGCCCTTGCCATACTGCTTTGGTGAGATGCCTTTCCTTCTCCTTTATGCAAGGCTGAGCATCACCTCTTCTGTATTAATCCTAAAATATGCTTGGAAAACCCAGAGATGTAAAGCCATCCCAAAGTTCTCCTGGACACTGGGCAGCTCCCCCCAGTGGCATCTGCTGGAGGGTGGCAGAATCTGGGTTCTGCCCCAGGTGGGGGTGGAGGGAGGTGTTCTGGACATTCTCTAAATGGACACTGCAAATTGGGGCTGGGATACTTCAAATGATCTGGCTCCAACTGTGATGGATATGCTGTCCAGTTAAGGTGGCCATCCCATGTCTTTATAGGTGGAAAGTAGTCACTCAGATGAAAAAGAACAAGGTATTTCTATAGGAGAAAGGCACTGAAGAGGCAGATTTTACAGATTTATTTTTTAAAAACAAAAGGTTAAAAAAAAGTCCTTCATTTCCAAACCTGCCTGGGGGTATAGGTGGGGAATAGAACAAGCTGAGAATGGTGCCCACCCCCTCCTGGGAAGAGTCCGACTCTTCCCCCAGGAGCTGGTAGGACAGGGCAAGTCAGAAGCAGGCCCTCATCCTCCTGCCCTGCCTCCTCAGGTAGCTTTAACTGCTGCTAGGAAGTTTTACAAGCGAAGAAATGTGGGAATGGGAGGTCAAAGGCTGTCGTCTGCACACATCCTGCCTCTAGCTGTTCTCTCTTCTCAGTTCTTGGGGCCCCAGCATGGGGCTCCCAGGGCAGGCAGGCAGGCAGGCAACTGTCTGAGAGGCTCAGGCCCTGGGATACATGGCCCAGCCCACTGGCAACTTCCTTAATGCTGCTTGTGAGACAGCAGGGCAGTCAAGGACATCAGTGTGGAGAGGAGCTTCAGAGACCTCTTGACATGTCTGCAGAGGAAATCTAATCCCCACGGAGGCCGCCCTTCTTTTCTATTCCCCATCCTCAGGCCAAGTGGAGTCTAGGACAAAGCACTAAGTGGCCGTTTGCTACAAAACACCTGGTGATGCCACAGGGCAGCTCATGGCCTGTCAGTCCAGGCTCCCACGCAGTCACACAGTCACACACACAGCGTTAAGGCGTCTATGCCAGCAGGCATGGCCAAATTAGGCCCAGCTTCTCTTCACCTGCAGAGGGTATCAAGGGAGATGTCCCTGTTGCTACCAAAACAGGCTGAGGGGGGAGAAGCTGGCAACGGAAGGTTAATCAGGCCTGGAGAAGGAGGTGGGAAGGAAGGAAAGGGCTTTCAAGGCCTCTACCCAGGCCTGCTGGCTGCCCTCAGAAGTAACCCAACTCAAGTTGGGGAGCCCTGACCATAAACCCCCTGGAAAATGGGGGACAGAGAGAGGGGAAGAGAGCGGGGCTAGAGTATTGGGACTTTGGAGGAAGCCAGTGCTATCAATATTTACAAGCATAAAGCCCCATCTTCTACGCCCCCTGCCTCTCTGCCCCCCTCCAAGAAATGAAAGGCCCCTGAGAGCCATTGAGGAGGTACCTGGACCTCCTCACCAGCTGCGCCCCTACAGAGAGGCCCTTCCCTCTGACTGGCCCCATCTCCGGGCCCCTCAGGAATGTCTTATCTGGCTGTGCTCCTCTGGGAGCCCAGGGCCAGACCCCACTGCCCCGCCAGCCCTAGGAGTCCTTTAGCATGCTGATGCGGGCGTAGATCTTCAGGGCAGGCCCCAGCTTGATGTTCATGGCGCTCATCAGGTGGTCCTCCTTGAGCAGCAGCAGGGCTTGCCCATCAATCTCCTGGGCACGGAATTCCTCTGCGATCTCCTGGCAACCTGGGAGTGCCACCAAAGACAGCATCAGTTAAAGTGACGGCATTTATTCATGGCAGCCAGCCATAATGAGGCAGCCTTTTCTCTGAAGTTTATCGTTAAGGATGGTATTGCTATTCTTATCCTGCAGCTTATGAGAAGCTAAGCTAAATGACTTACTCACGGAAGCCCTGATGTAGGCCTCCTTTCTCATGCCCTTCTTCAGACCTCCACCTCCTCAAACTGCACTAACTCAGGTGGCCAATAAGGTGGTACGGAAGTGACAGCAGCTAATTTCTGAGGCTAGATCATAAAGGGTACAGTGGCTTTCACCTTGTTCTTTTAGATTATTTTGGAGTAAGCTGACCATCCTGTCATGAGACCCCTTCTGGCAGCCCTCTGGAGGCCCACATGGAGAGCAACTGAGGCCTCTTATCAAGAGCCAGCCTCACCTGCCATCGAGGGAGCCACTTCCAAACCTTCAGATGACTGTAGTCCCCTGGCTGATGTCACTGGGACCTTGTATGAATCCCTAAACCAGAGCTTCTTAACTGAGGCACTGCAAGTTTCTGTCCTATGGACCTTGAGATAAGTGGTTAGTTTAAAGCCACTAAATTTTAGAGTAATCTATATCACAACAGATAACTAAAACAGACATTGGTATCTGGGGGGGGGTGCTGTAATTAAAAAACTAAATATGTGGGCATGGCCTTGGACCTGGCACTGGGCAGCAGCTGGACTGATGTTGAAGACTCAATGAACAGCTAATGTGCTCTGACACCATGAGCAAAATCTTGACAGCTTCTGAGGAAGCTGCTGGGAAGCTTAAAGGAAATTACAGAAACTGCTACCGAAGAATGGAAGTGACAGGAATTTCAGTTTTATCTTGTTAAATTAAAAACCTAGCAATATTGTTGATAACATGCTAATTTAAATGTACGCAGGGAACTAAGTGATCTGGTTGAGAAGATTTTCTAGCAGAATGTTGAAGGCATTGCCTAGCTTTGTTGCTGCTCATAGTAAAAATGGGAGGAATAAGAAAAAGTAAAAGAAAAACTGCTTAACACAAGGGAGCCAGTATTTGTGGCTCTGGCTTCACAGTTTCTCCAAAGGACAAATGATGCTGGCATTATGAAATGCTGTGCAGGCAAAGAGCAAACCCAGGGAAAAGTCAATTCTCAGTTTTTAGTATGCCTGGACAGACTTCTACATTTCCACCTGATTCCTCTCATGGCTGACTTCATTGCCAACTCTGCATTTTCACACAGGCCACTTGCCAATGGCTGTTTAGAACTATAGCTGTGGAATGTGGAATACCACTGAAAGTATGTGTTCTACAGTGCTGTACAGAGGTCTCCTTTCCTCCCATTCCTTGCTGTTCCATGCAGACATGGAATTTCCAAAGGCCTTACCTGGCAGAGAGCGGATGAATTCATAGACATCTTCTACGTTCCACTTGGTGGGCTCACTTGGTAGGAAGTGGTGTCCCATGCCTACCAGATCCCGCATGTGCATGTCAGGGAGCTCCAGGTCCCGCTGGCCTTGTCGCCGGCGGGAGGTGGAGGAGCTGGCTGAGATGGGTGACAAGGGTTCTTCATAGCTTGAGTTATCTGAACAACGGCTGGAGTCTTCCTGGCTGTGTGTCAGCTGCAATGCAGCAGTAACTGAAAGGGGTACAGTGCCTGTTGGCTGGGGGTAGAGAGAAACAGCTTTCTTCAGCATGGGGGAATAAACTATTTCTAGCAGCAGCAATGATTAAGGCAGGTCTTTCTCTACCTTTGCTAGTAGGTCTTTGCTACTTGGTATACTTACTACATCTTGAAAGTTCCTGGATTCATTAGCATCTTCTGTGCTGTCTCCTTTCTGGCCCTAAACTGTCAGCCCTTTCTAGAACTATTACACATACCACACTGGACTACTGTACAATGATCTGATTTTATGCTTATCTTTCTTGTAGCTGTGACATTTTATTTATTTGTTTGTTTATTATTTATTTTTGGTACCGGGGATCAAACTTGGGTCCTTGTGCTTGGGAGGTAGGCGGTGGAACCACTAAGCTAAATCCCTGGCCCTAGATGTGACATTTTAAACTAGAGCTCTATGTGAAATCGTGAGGCCCTGTCTCAAAGTTAAAAAAACAGGGCTTAGAGGTAGAATACTTGTCCAGGGCACATTCATACTTGGGTTCAATCTGTAGTACCACAAACAAAACAAAATTAAACTAAACTAGGCTATGATTTCCTTTAGTTATATTAACACTATGTCCTTGGAACCTTAGAGCCCAACAGAGATGCTGGAACAGAGCTGGTGCTGAAAAATATTGGGCACGTGGAGGAACAAAGCCTAGGATCTGCCGGCCGCTCACCTGCTTCTTGGTATCCTTGCTGAGTGTCGGCAGACTAGCCTTGCTGGCCCGGCGGCGGTTGTGGGTTGTGGCCCCTGCCTTCTGCAGCTTGCTCCGGTCTGAGTGGAAAAGTCCCACTCTCTTGGTGCATCCCACATTATACCTGTCAAGATACACAGGTAAAGTTAGCAACTGGAGGGCTCCTAAGTCCTAGGCAGAAGAAGAGCAAGTAAATTGTCTGGCAAAACCTGAGTCCATCTATTGGTTCAAATCCTTACTCCCATTATCATTCCTGTTGGACAACCACTTAAGCATTGGGCCTTACTGAGTTGGGGAGATACCACTTGCCTTCTGAAACAGGTCTCACAATGACCCGAAATAATATTGCTGACGTGTTTAACACAAACTTGAAGTGCGGCTGACTCATGGCTGACATACTCTAAATACTACCGGGTCAGTACTGTCAACTGTCTTGCTGAAGAATGGACAGGCAAAGCTTGACAAAGGGGCCCTGGCTGCCTCCAACATACAGCCTGATGACAGTGAGGGCTGAGAACAGTGACTGTGCCTGGGCATGCAGGAAACTACTGCCTGGACCTAGAAAGGATTTTTTCTCTTTTGGGAGTTCAGGGCTTCAAGATCAGTCACTTCTTCCACTTGGAAAAAGACCACATAGTGTGGAGTTCTTTGTGACACCCAATGGGCCAGTGACTACCTGAGAGCTGGAACATCTTGAAGATAGGATTTTTTGCCGACTTGAGCAGAGATGGGCCTTTACAGGGAAAATGAAGCTCCCTAGGGGAATCAGGTAAAAGTTAATAACTCAGCCAAATGGTCACCATGCCTTGCTAACCTGAAACAAACATCTCTGCTTAGTAGAATGCTTTACCTTTGTTGTTTCTCAATAAATCTGGAAGTGTGAGTCAGTTCAAGACTTTATTTCAGTGAAGTACCCCGACCCTCCACAAAGACACTCTCTGTCTCCTACGTTTTCATTCATCTATCAGGGTTTGCTGGCCCAAATATGGCAACATAGGACTTTAGAATCAGATGACTCTAAATCCCCAGGTCTATAGCTTATTAGCTGTGTCATCTTAGGGACAGCTACTCCTTTGATTTCCAACCACATAAAGTGGACAATAACAAGTGCCTTGTGGGGTTATTGTGAAATGAGACAATGCACACTGACACTCAGCACAGATAAGGTTCTCAGTAAGTGACAGTGATTTTTATTATGATCATGTCTTCTAAGGTGGGTAAAAGCTCATCCTGAGAACACTGTTAACTAGTGCTGAAGTTCTAGGCAAAGCTTCTGTTGGAGGGCTTACTATAAGGTGGCAGCTGTCAAAGGGAAGCAGGGAAATGGGTTCCAGTGTAACCCAGTAGTCCAGCCCAGCTAATGGGCTGCTCCTTTCCTCAGACTCTGTGTTCTCTTTGATCCACTCCTAGGGGTTCCGATTTCACAGACCCAGTGCCTTAGGGATGCAAAACTGTATCTAGGCAGTTCAAGGAAAAAGGATGCTAGATAAGCTGCACCTATGGTCTTCTGGGGTAGATGATTACTGGAAGGAGAAAGGATGCAAAAGCAGGATTCCAAGGTGAAGTCTGGAGACAAGGAAAGGCTGGACAAGGCAGCAAGTTGAAGCCACTCACCTCTTTGCACAAGCCATGGAACAGAAGCGCTTGGACCGCTTGAACTTGTAGGCGAAGTCCACCCGGCCACAGAGCTCACATTTGAGTTTGAGGGGAGTGCCCTCCTCTTTGGATTCTGAAAAGTATGGAAATGGGTAAGTGTAAAGAATAAATTCCTGTAGGACTGCAGGGCTTCCTGCTCTACCCTGCCTCATGTTCCTATGGATGTGACATGCAGCTTGCAAAATGCCAAAATGTTTTCACCATTGCTTTTGAAAAGGCTGTCTTTCCACTGGGAAGTTCCTAAAGTTATCTTTTTGATAATCCTTGTAAATGTGATGCTTTTTTCAGATCCCATAAACCTGAGGCATGACATAGGCAGGACAGAATCAGCAGCCTTCACAAACATGGAAGGAAGGAAGAAGCTCACGGGAAATACTCTGGGTTCTGTCATGTCATGACTGATTCTCTGGGATTATCCCACCTTACTCTGATCCATCTAGCTACTGCAGGCCTGGCTTAGAGAACCCAGGAGCTTATACTCCTGGACCCTGCACAGCCCCAGAGAGTTAATGGTTCATGTGCAAAGTATAGTCCTTGCCTGGCCTCTGCTATGTCTCAGAGCTGGTCTACTCTGAATGCAGCCTCCTGAGGCAGTAAAAGAAAGACATGCTGGCCTGGCGCAGCCCTATTTTCATTCATTCCTACAATGTCCTAATGATTTTCAAAGGAAGTACAACTTTTGAAATCATGTGATATGCCAGAGAAGCAGGGGATAAATGGTTCCCCATTTTCCTATCCCTGTTCTTTAGGGACAGAGGAGGTACTGGGGCAAATGCTCAGTGGATGGAAATGTTTGTCAGTCCCTACTCAGGGTTCTTCCACAGATGGAGAAAGGGAAAGTGTGAGGCATGCTGTCCTGCCAACTGGAAGGCCTTCAGACAGGTCTGAGGCACTTACCTTGCAGGTAGGGCTCCTCCATCTCTGAGTCAGTGGTGGTGGTATGGTCCTGCTGTGGAAGTTTCTCAGGCAAGAATCCCTGTGCATACTTCTTCTTGAGATTCCCCACCAGCAGGGACGAGCGTCCCACCTATAGGACAGGTGACATGGAGGCCACAGGGTTAGGTGGAATGGCTCCCCTGCCATGCAGCCTCATCATAATTACATGTATAAAGTATCCAGGCAGATGCCAGCCCTCAACACGCCCCCCATGTCATCATTTGAGGTACCCTGCTCAATGCCCTATCTAGCTCATGTGGCAAGGAGCAGTGGGCACCGAAGTACAGGAATGCCTTTGGTCTGTGCCAGCAGATGGCTTGGGAATATCCATTTTGCCAGGTGTCTCCAGGGAGAAATAGAGGCAGAAGTGAAGTTTCTCAAAGTGCCAGATTCAGTGCCACACCCTGGGGGAGGGCTGAGTCTGTGTGTGAGTGGACTTAGGGAAGAGACTCAGTGCTCCTCCTTTTTGGATTTCTTAGTTTTCCGCCTTACCACTGCCCCACTGAAGCCAGAGGTACAGGCAGGTGCAAGGGAGAGCTAGAAAGAAACAAACCTGGGTACAGGGCAAATGCTCTGTGGTTGTCAGGATCCCAGATTTGCTTATTCACCTTTCTCATTCTCCCTTTATGGCCTTTGTTCAGGCAGCCTAGGGGCGATGTTACTTGGTGTCTGATTCTAGGGCAGTGCTGACATGCTATTCATTCTGAATCTGCCCCGAGACCAGCCGGTTCTTGGAGTTACTCCAGGAGGCAAGGGGAGGACTTGGTCTAGTGAGAGAAGGGATGCAGCAGGGCTAGAGCTATTTAAAGGTAGGTATCCCTACTGGATTTGCAACTGGCCTTGGAAAACCTCCAGAGGGAAAGAGGACAAGAATCTACTTGTTTTTGACATTTTTGAAGGGCCAGTCACCCATCTCAGTTAAGTCCAGTCTTCAGCTGGCTGATCAAACCACCTATGGATCCAAAGAATGAGTACAGAGCAGATGGCATCCTGAATAAATGGGGTCTCTAACAGCCAGATAATGCCCATCAGAAGATAGACTAGTGTGCACCTGGTTATGGGCTCTGCACATTGCAGAGCAGCACCACTGCTCCCCAGCAGCTCTGGGGGGGGACTTTGTGCTATAAACCATCTTCATCATTCTTTTATATTTCCCTTCAGTCTTAGGCTCTCATTGAAGACACCAGATTGTATGTTTTCTGAGGATCCCTCAATTTCATTCATTCATTTTCAAGGCTCTGCCCCCAGAAAATAAAGCTTGAGGCTGTGGTCCTGCTGCCTCACTTTCATTTCCCATGCATCTTGAAAACACTGTACTAATAATATGCAGGTCTCCTTTGTTCTCTGACTGGCCAGAGTTTTGCCATTGAGAGGTTTTAGCATTCAAAGCTCATTGAGCTCTAATTTCCCTGAATCATCTCTCACTGAATACCTCACAGTGAACTCTCTGCTAACCAAAGGATCATGGGCAGGGACACACTAAACCTGTGCACAGAAACTCCTAATCAAGGGTTCCTGCCAGTTATTCCTGATAACTGAGTGCTTCTAAACCTTGGAGACATAATCCTAGGGAAAAAGTGGTTCTGACATTTCTTTGTGGGGAGGGGATAGCGAGGAAAGAACAAATTGTCCACATTTTCATAAACTATACACGGAAATGCAAAAATATTCTAATACACATCCAAAATATACTTCAAAACAAAACAAAACAAAAAAAGGGGAAAAGAAGTAGTCCGTACCGGGAAAGGCTCCGCCCCCTCCTGGATCACAAACCCTTCGATAACATGCGTCAGGATTTGGGGTTTCACAATGGCCTGTGGTGGTTTATTCTCACCATTCTGGGGGGCAGTGCCGGCGATGCTGGAGGCAGAATTTCCGTTCCCTGAGGTCATGCCGGGGCTGCTGAGGTTGGTCAGTGCATGAACAATGCCCTGCCCTGTCTCTGCACAAGGGAGAGTAAGACAACAAAACAGTGGAAATCAGAATAGAAACTGGGCCTGGAGAGGTATCAAGGACTCAAAGTGTACCTGGTTTTTGCTGTGCCCCCAATGACAATGCTAACCAAGTAGTCCCCTCCCTCACTGATCTGTCTATACGTGTAGCGTCAGTGGACACACCACCAGGCGCGAGTATAATCAGTTCTGCAATAACACAGCTAATCAGTTAGCAGTGTTTCTTAATTTTCCCATAGTACTAAGAACAGTTTAAATAGGTAAACAGTTTAAACAGGTTAAATAGGTAAGAATTGTCTTTGAAGAGATAAAAACTTGGGCAACACTGATTTGGACAAAGTAACATTCAGCTTGAGGGAGAAAATTAGTATTCAAGGTGACATCTAAAAAAAGGATGCTAAAGTATGGATAGGGCATTAGGGTGTGATAGAGTCTGGCAGACAGAGGTTAAAAAAAATCTGTGAGTTTCCTTGGAAATAAATATCAAAGCACTGAACCCAAGAAATTGATGCCAAGGGAAATGATGTCTGGTTGACCCATCAGTAGACATTATCGTGAGTCTGGACTATCCAGAGACTGGCTATTTGGGATCATGGTACTAGACATACATATATTCTTTTCTATCATGGAAGTTGCAGAGGGGAGCCAGAATTTTCTATGCTACTTCTGCTGGCCCCTGCTCTCAAGCCCTAGCCTAGTGTGCATCTTCATAATTTCATATCCTTCTATTTGGACCCTCAGCAAATCATAGACCAATCCTCCATCTCTCTGTGAACCATCTTTCCTAACCCTCTGTGGGGTTGCTAGTCTTCCTATAAAAGGAGTGCTCCAAAAAGTGTGACAGGTCCTTACACACTTCACCAAAGTAGATCCCCTCTCCTTCACTTTCAACAGCATCTCTCCGGAGCTGCCTGTCTTAGATGTGCAAGGCTCCAGTGTCTCCTGTTCCCTCAGTCCATTTCCTAGGCTCATGCTCTACCACGACCAACTGCCCAAGGAGCTGAGTTGCCTTTAACCTGTAACTTTCTAAAAACAAAAAAAAGGAAAATCCACTTCATTGTAACAAGCCTGGTTAATATTAAGCACAGCCCACTCATACATGATACACAATTTGAAATTTTCAGATTTCTTTTTTTGGATTAAAAAAAAAAAATCCACTACCAGGGATTGAACGTACGACTTTGAGCTTGCAAGACAGGCATATCCTGGCCTATTTTTAGATTTTTTGGAGACAAGTCTTGCTATGTACTCCAGGTTGGCCTCCAAATCAAGGCAATCCTTCAGCTTTAGCCTCCCAAGTGCTGGGATTATAGGCATGTGCCACCATGCTTGGCTGAAGATACTCTTACTTCATGTTAAGGATCTAAACTATTACCATAGAACAGAAATTCATAGTGCCAAATTATCCAGTGTGGGGAAATCAGAACAGACTCAATGTAGAACAGGTTTATAATTGGGTCTCAATAGGCCTTCATCCTCTCAAGCTTTTTTTTTTTACTAGTAATCCTGAGGCTAAATAAACCTCATTTTTGAATGAAAAAGCATTGACATGTCAACTATATGATCCATTTCAGAACTGAGAAGTCATTCAAGAGACGTGAATGATATGCATTTTAAAAAATTTGTTTGACTTAAAGTCACATCAGCAAGTTAGAAAAATTCTCTTAAGGGTCTACATTCATTTGAAAAAAATAGCTTTGGTTTTTCAGTAGGGATGAAAAAAATCCCCATTTTTGGAATTAGTGTTTTCTAAACTGTGAAAGTATTTGGGAACTGAAACAAAAATTCCGTTACAATCTGAATAGCTGGGAGGACTGAGTTAATGCCAAAATCAATCAAATAAGTTTTTGCTTTTAAATTTTAAATATTTAAGCTTTCCCTATGATGAGTGTTATCATATATGCATAAAATGTACCAATGCATGTTTTGCTATAAAAATACTGAAGCCTATTTCTTTATAAGTTCCCTCTTTTACCAGTATTTTAAATATGCGAAGAAACAAATGCACACTTTATTTAAAACCATAGATAGTTAAATGTTAAAACACAAAAGCTTTACATAAAAGCTAAAATTGTATTTTTAGGTGATGTCTAGTTCCTCCTAATTAGAGCCTAATAAAACACTCCCTGAGATATGCAATGAACTGTAGATCACAGACTCACAAGATCAGAAAGCTGGCTTCAATCTCTTACCAATGTTTGAACATTCTTCTAATGGCCCAGTGATTTTCTAGCATTTGTTTGAATGGCTCTAATGATAAAGGAACACACTATCCCTTAAACAGTATGCTAAACTACTTTGGGCAGTACAGTTAAAAATTCTCCCTTATAAGGAGCCCCAAATCTGTCTTCCAGTTAATTTCTGCCCATTAATTTTGGCTTTCTCAAGATGAGACCGAGGCCACTCACCATATACTGATCAAAATACCCAGGCCTAGATCTGGCTTTGAGATTGGTCTCTGTCACTGAGTAAAGCACAGCAAGTCATGGTTGTCCTCTGCGTCTATTTTACCAGCTATAAAATAAGGACGCTAATACCTACCTGTGTTGCTGTGTGCAGTGCTAGCTTCCAAGAGATGCTCAAGAAATATTCCTGGGGTCATGAATGGTGCCACTCATAACCCCAGTGTGTCTTCTCCAGGACAATCCCCTCTGCTCTTTCAACTAACTACTCCTTATGTAACAAGGGTACAAGTCCATCAGCATCCTAGGTCTTCTTTGCCTGTATCTTTCAATGTTGGGTGCCCAGTCAATATTAAATATAATCAAGTGTAATCATCTAAGAGATATGATTGTTAAGATTTTTGTTTTAACACTCAGTTCAGACTGAGAGCACAGGCAGACAGGGAAGTAAGTGGCTCCCTTGTTTCAGTTTATAATCCTTCTGAAATTACTAATGTCATAAAATATAAATAATCCACTCTCCTCTTAATTCTAAGATGGTTCTCATCTCCTGCCTTTCACTGATACTCATGACCAAACATCTAATACTTTGTTTTCTTTTGTGGGCTCTCTGTATCCTACTTGACTGTAAGCTCCCTGTCCCATCCCCCTGATCTGTGTCTACTGTAACCGAGGTTAAATCTTGAAGCCATATATATTTTTCATGATACATTAGGATTCAGAGCCAATGCTATCTCTGAAAAGCATCTTTTTGGAATCTGAGTTTAAAAAAAATAAAAATTTTAGAGGACAAACTAATAAATCTTTTCTCCCTAACATTAGGGCAGAGATTACAGGAAAGACATAATCTAGGGGACAGAAAGGAGGATATTCTGCAAATGACAAAAGTGTATAGCTGTTTTGCTTTGCAGTTATTTTGTGGGCCAACAGTTCATCATCTGCATTAGTAACAAGAGTTTGGGGCTATTTCTGGAATGGCCAAATACAATCTCACCTCCTGCCAAGCTCAGAACACTGAGATTAATTTAATCTTCTTCTTGCTCTGTCCCAGATTGCTTTTCGGCCTGGCTAGGGGAAAGCAGCTTAAAAGTGAAACTTGCAGAAACCTGCCCTGCTGGCTTACAGGCCTGATAAACAAAGAAATACTCTATCTTTGGAATGTGGTTCAGTACTCTATTCTTTTGATTAGTCCCCAAGGTGGAGAATACTGCTGGGGGATTCCCACAGGTGTCAACTGCCTTTATACAGCCAGGCACCTGAAGTGGAGGCAGGACACAGAGTTGGAGGGACTGGGAGGGGAGGGTGGGTAGAGGGGGAAGTAAAGCTGAGATCTATCTAGTGGGAAGCAGGTAGGTAGAAACTTGCCTTGGGCTGAAGTTGATCACAGAGGACCAAGTATTGTGCTGGCAAGTGTCGCAGAACATATGTCCCATTCTGGTCTCATTCAGTTTTGGCAGAAATAGCTCTTAAGCAGGATAGAAAGGACCATCTGATATAAAATTACCTGCTTTAGGGCTGGTTACCTCTACCAGAGCAAGGGGCTGTAGCTCAGTCACCCCTATATCTCCAGGGGATAATCTAATGCCCAAGATAGGTTAGATGATGCGTCATGTCTGTCAAATTGGAATGTATGGAACCCAGTCTCTGTCTTCATTGTCAGCAGAGAGTATAGGTGTCCCTAAACAAGCAATGTGGTACCACCTGAGGCTTGCTGATTGCTTTCTGAGTCTCATGGTCAGAGAAAGATTAGGCTGGCAGCTGCCTACAGGCGTAGCATTCCTGGGTACCTAGCTATAAAGAATAGCTATTCTTTGGACCACTTCTTTCTGACACAGGAGAGATACCCAGCAGAGGGGAGATACCTTAAGTCTACCCCTGAGGGTGGAGTTGAGCCCCAGAACTCTGGGTTCCCTGTCCCATTTTGAACCATTTATGGCTGATCTAGAAACCTGGCAGGGGGCTGACCTCTACACACATAAGTAGGAAGGGCCTAGAAAAATAACCTCGCCCTCAGGATCTGTTGGTTAAGCATCCAGAGATGCTGCATTCTCCAGCTGGCTGAAGACAGAGGTCAAGCTGGTCCCAGCCATGAAAAATCTGGCCACTTACAAGCCAGTTCTGATGCTTTTTATATGCACAGATAAAGAAAATAAACCCACCTGTATTTTGCTGCTCTAACATTTGCAAGGGGCAGTACAGATGGCCTAGCACTCAGTCTATTAGCCCTCAGTTTCATAGGCTGGGAAACCTGATTGTGGAGGAAACAGAAACACTGGAGCTTCTCCTACTTCTGCAGCCTGTACACCAGCCAATTTACACTTTCTCTAGATATGAGAAGGGAATATTTTAATTTAATAGATTTCCAACTGTCCCTGCTTGGCTGCAGCAGGATTAAGACAAAACTAATGAAGTTAAAGTATTTAAGGGAGCACAGTAGGTGATAACAGGCATTCTTTTCTTATGGCAAATTCTGTTCAACAAATGACAAAACAAGGCTACCAATCAAAAACAGATGCAGGCCCAAGCACCTCAGTGATGATCACTGTGCCTGAGCTTAGTACTGCCAGGGAGTGACAAGGTGGCTAGAA